AATACCGGGCTATAACTACTGGCGACGCCGAACTAACTGGGCTATAACAGTTTTATTCCGACCACTTTTAGTTTTTCTCACGTATAAAACTCTGGTTGTGGTATTAGGGCTTTCACCGACAGTGTTCCGGAACATACTCGTTCCGTTGTGCCTTGGAACTCACTCTCGAGCCGCGCCAGCAGCCGAACAGCAGCAGAATAACATTACCACTAAAGACGGGGGAGACTGGCATAGCCCTTTCCGGCATACTAGCTGTCATCAGCTAGCCATACCCAACCCCAGGTTTTGCCACCCACGAAGCTCCAACAGGTGACATGTTGGTTAGAAGTCCAACTTCTTACCAAATCCCACCAACAATCCCCTGTCTAACTGATCTAGAAGTCAGTTTTAAGCCGGAAATGCAACAACGAGATCTAACTCACTGATAACTGGATAAAAATACACGAGACCCAAAGTAAGCCTAGGATTTATGGGCTGCAGCTCACAGCACTGCCGCAAACCTACATTGCTGGTGTTTATGGGCTGAGGCACGTAGACATCTTGCGAGGGCATCGGCGAAGCCGAGGGTCCCGCGTAGATGGCCTTGTCCAATCGGCCGAAGGAGAAGACCGGCTCGAGACGCAGACGTTGATTCGGTTGAATGGCATCGATGATCGGAGCGTAGCCGGCAGGCGGCCCATGTCGGAGACGACCATGAGTACCACCAAGGGCAAGCCGTGCACTGGCACGAGCCGTCATACTGACGCAGGGGTAGAAGAGACCAGTGGTATTGAAGTCCTGAAACATAGACAGTCTCATAAGGAGCGTTCTAATCAAATGGCCGTCAAGAAAGAAATATGTACCCAGGCCGAGTGCGAAAATGGAGTGTGAGATGGAAATTTAGCTCAAATGTTGCCCCTTTTTATGTACAAGAATTCGCTAGAAACTTGGCGGAAACGAACTATGCTACTGAATCGTCAGTCTAGTCCATAATCCAACAGACTCAGAAAGCCAATGGTTCTATTATCAAACTTCGACAGAATTGCTATGGCAACCTTCCTGTTCCATGTAAAAGGCTGTAATTGGTCCGCTACCTCTAAGCGTTGTCCGTGACAACAGTAACCATACTTTAAGAAATTTGTCCACTGCAAAGACTTTGCATAAAAATAAAAACAGCCAATCGAAACCTATTGCTGAAGCCTACCTGGAAGTAGCCCTTCACGAGGCTTCCGTTGAGATTGAACTGAATGACCGGGCCGGTGAGATCGAGCAGGCAACCAATCACGTCACCGTGTTTCAAGTGGGGCCCTTCTACAACTGCCTTGGCATAATTGGGGTCCTTTGCTTCCTCGGGAGTGGGATAGACCGCCAATTTCCGTTTGCCACCGGTCCATAAGTACCGACCATCGAAGCCAAAACTGTAGAAGTCGTCACCGAGACTGATGCCGCCCCAACCCGGTCCGCCAACGGGATGCGGCAGGTACCCGTCCGTGTTGCACCAACCGACCCTGATAGTTGCAGGCTGATGCGAAACGGTTTCCAGGGCGTCAACAAAAACTTCGAAGTACCACTTGGTGTACATTGCTCCGCCCTAAATGGAAGAAGAATGGCATATTAGACCATCCAATACAATAGGAAAATCAAATAGAATAGAAAACTGGAAGCAGAGGACGTGTCCAGACCGTCGTAGTATCTACATTTTCGTGTGGATGACCTTACTGCTAAAGTCGCGCTTTGGTGGAAGAAGGAGATAGTACGGTGCAGAGGTTGTGAGGATATGTATTTTTCAAAGCCTGCGATTGCTTTTTGGTCTACCTACTGGTTACCCAACAGATCCACTGATTGCGGATAGAAGAATAGTCTTCTTGGGGCTGGATGCGAAAAAAACAGATTCCAGGTCTGAAAAGTTAGCCCTCACGGACTTACAGTGGTAGGTCCACGTGGATATGGGGAGTCTGCAGTGTATTCTATCGACTGCTCTATAAAAGGTCCAGAGTCAAATAACACGCCCGTGGCAGGGCAATCGTAACCCAAGTTGCGGAGAGGATTGACGAAGAGGAAGCATAACTCAAGTGTTGCAATTATTGTTTGAAGGGCTGACTCGCCATTCAAGCGAACCCAACTTGTCTTCAACCGCGACTACTGCTGAGGTAACCATGCCAAATGACACATCTTGAGTTCTGCTAGTGCGTAGGATGAAATCTATTCACTCTGAATGGTCGTTGGACGGAAGAGAAAACCGCAAACTTCATGCGATACTGCGAGGACTCCTCCACCCCCTCTAAACGCTGAGTTCAATCATGCAATTGTGTTGGCAATGCAGGACAAACATTGATTGCATTTCCGAACTGACTTTGCCAATTCATGGCTTGCGCAGTAGCGAGCCTCCAGAGCGCAATTACTGCTTTCACCTCTGCCACAGTAGAGTATTTAATAATTCTGGTTAGAATGGTGCAAACACCTTAATAGATTACTCCGAAGTTTAATCTCCTGCGTGCTATGGTACTAAACAGCGCAGTTGTTGTGATGTACAGCACCAAAACCGGCCACTAGGGATATGCAGAAGGAGGCTTTCACAAGAAATGGGAATGCATTTTTGTTGCGGAGAGGGGGATATACGAGGCGAGATCTTGTCACTGCGGTGCAAGAAAACCCTCAGTCAAGATTAAAGGACTAACCAAGTGAACCGTTGGATAGGGAAAAACACCTACTTCAAAAATCTCATTTTCATCCAGTATTCAACAGATTGTCCCGTACAAAATATGTAGTCCAACTGAAGACTTGGAAGAAGACGCTAAACAGACTCAATGCTGGGCCTTCGAAGCCGGCAGTAAGAGTTACTCCACTTCTGTTTTGTGAATGTTCGACCATGATTCAGACTACAGATTGTTCACAGGACAAGACTAGTGAGAAAGCATGGTGTTGGCCGGTTCAAATTTTATGCCACCGTCTAACTGACTCCATCACCTTTTGCATAATGCCACAGGAGACATTAAGTTCTTTGTTAAAGAAAACTGCTTTGAAATGCATTCAATTGACCCAATTGTGAAATATGTGGCGGTCTCGATGGCATTCGGACCCACGCCGGCAAGGGTAGGCATGACTACAGCCAACGCTCTAGCCCCACCGGGAGTCGCAAATTTAATCACATTTGGGTCGATTTACCCGTCCAGCCTTCTAAAACGTATGGGATCCACCAATACTAATATGGTACGCTGACTACCCAAACAGGATTTCCTAAGTAATCAATCTAGCATTCACCAGATAACTACCAGGCACACTTAATTATTAGGAAATGAAATAAAATGAAGTATTTCATCCAGGTGTTATCTTCAGAAGGGGGAAGGAGGGAGTTGGCCAGAGATGTGTACTTCTGCCCCGGCGTTGGAGAATAACCTCTACCTGAATGCACCGACTACAGTGCAGATCAGTCCTTTACGTCCCTTTGGATCGCCAACTGGGGCATGCAGTACGTAAACTTGCCTCTAAATTGGTCAGATTCAGCGAGGAGGCTGGCGCTAACGTCGACATTTGGCAAGCGACTGATATGTCTTTTGAACCAGCTGACGTCAGTCCAGTGGGTGTTTTGTTGTGTGGAATGGCTAACTGGCGAACTGAAAGTCAGGCTGCAATGGCTGCTTCTTAACGTGGCCGTTATCGCGCTCCCACATAGGTGGGATCCCAGCTAGGTGTGATGCCACGCATTGGAGGGCCGGCCTCATGCTCGATCCCGCTTCCAGTCTTTTTGACTCTGTCTTGACCTTAGGCTCAGGTGAGTGAGGGAAGAGAGAGTGAGGTAGATGCCTCGTAAGTCTGCTTTCAATATAACCCAGCACGAGTCACAGTACTTGCACCACCCTGTTGTAAAGCTTAGGGTGGAAATCGTCGATATCTATTGTCGAAATGTTGGTGTGTATACATGAGAGAGAGAAAAAGGCATACTAGGTGGACTCTCTATTTCTATTAGCAATCATAAGGGCTTAAGAGAGACAGGCATAGAACTAACGCACCTCTTTGGTGCCAACAAAGAGGTTGGCTCGCATTGATCCGGACTGACTGACTAACTTGGTCTGAAGCAGAAGGTCGCGATCCGGCAGGAGACAGTCGTAGATCAAATCCTGATTCAGTCTTACTGCGCCACCTTGTCGACCCGTACAGATGGAACGCAAAACTTCCAGAACCTAGGCATGAACACAAAATCAGAATACTACGAATATGCAAGTTAGAGACACAAAGTTTGGAGAAAGATTATTTGAGTAGAAAATCAATGTCAAGACTATGTTGGTAAAGAGATAATAAAAGATTACAAGCTTTGTGACAGAAAAGAAAAACACTTTACCGAACGAAACTAGAATGTAAAAGGACGTATTTATTAACACGTTAAAACTACAGTTTCTCCGCCTTCCCTTATACACGTCTGATCTTCAAATCATAATGATGTGTAGTACTCTCCGTTTTTAATCGAGCTTGTTTAGTTCGCAATATATCTTCGTACAATTAAACTGTTTCCCAATAGCTGGGAACTTACTTATCTTCCCTCCTTCTCCCCCTCTTTAATGCAGTCTCATGGTATTGTCTACCGACTTTATACTTTGCATATGAACAATATTACCGTAGCAATGTTCAGATATCTAACAAAAACATGACGGTACAATCAAACCAACACCATAAATCCCCAAAAGTATGTAAGATCCCTCAGCGAGATTCCTTTGAAAGTCTAATCTAGAGTTTTGCTCTATTAAATATAACCAACGAAACTTACTTGCGAACATATAGATGAAATCAAGCTTGGCACAATAAATATGTCGTGTGTCCCTCTCTGCTGACACCTCTATCGTGCAGATAGTATTTCCGGCAAAGACCAAGGAGACTGGAATGGCCATTTCTGGCTTATTAGCCGTCATAATCAGGTTAAGTGGTGTCCCATCCGAGCCTCGAACTCGCAATCTTTTTAATCGGAGTCAAACGCTCTAACCATTGAGCCGTGAGCTCGTTGTCTCGTTTGCGTATAAGGCTAGGCGTAGTACACTAGATGCTGTTC